TAAAACAGGTAAACGTATTACCACTTGTATTCACACACAAATCAATAAATAATCACTAAAATACTATTATTTTATTAAAAATTTGTCATTAGGTTATGTGTTTGACTGAAAATCTCAAGACACAAGAAAGAGAAGCCCCACGTGTAGTAATATATATATCAGACGACAGAGAAATTGCATCAGCATATATTGTAGCCGACGAAATTATAAAAATTAAAATTCCGCAACCAACTGTCTCTAAACTTATTGCGGGCCTTTTAAGTGGATATTATGTTTGGTACGTTGAGTATCCACTATCTTATTCTAATGTTTTAGAATATATTGACCACGAAGTTCTAACTACTTAAATTAAAATTCGTTCATTAAAAAGTCGTTCCACTGTTGTAAAAAAATTTATTCGTGAACGTGACAATGCTTTAAAAGCATCAAATGTAACAATGCTCTAAAAGTATTAAAATTAAAATCACTATTTATCATTTACTAATTAAGAATCATCATTTTACCAATTAAGAAAGATAAACAAAATGTATCTCGAATAAAAGTTAGATACAATTGTTATTAAGTACAAAAATAACATTCCAATTTTAAGAAAAGAAAACATTTAATTTTCATTAAAAGTATGAAATTTAAAATTACTATTTATTATTTGCCAATTAACAAATGAAGGAAGATAAACGAAATTTATTTCTATAAAATATGACTATCAGAATACATTGACATATGTTTGTACTTTTGTTTATTATTTGGAAATTATAATTCAAATATGTAATTATTTGTAAAGAAGTTTTGAAAAATATTTTATATCGAAAATAGTTTGAAACAAATTTGTTACAAAAAAAAGAATAAAAAATATATTATACCAAAAAAAACATTCCAATTTAAAAACAAAAACATTTTTCATTTTTATTAAAAGTACTTTCAAATTACTATCTTTTTTTCTTAAAATTGGAATGTTTTTATTATATAATATATTTTTGATTTTTTCGTCAGACAATTTGTTAAAAACAGTTTCAAACTATCTTTGATATAAAATATTTTTCAAAACTTTTATACTAACAACTACATATTTGAGATATAATTTTGAAATAATAAACAAAAGTACAAACATATCAATGTATTCGGGCGGGTTCCGTTTGACCACAGTACGATTCGACACCGCTCGATTCGACACAGATTTATTCGACACCA